CCCACCAAATCCCCAATCCCCAATAAAGCACTGACACCATGGTTTTGGCAAAATGATATCACAGCTTTATTTGTAATTAACATAAATTTAAAGGTCATTGTCAACAGCAGGCCAACGTTAACATCCTGCATTTACAATTTAACCCCTTGACAATGACCCACCCCCACATAACATAATACCCAAACATTGAACATTTACTTAACATGAAACATGACCATTGCCACCAAAGGGCACCATCCATTGCCACCAAAGGGCACCACAAGTGTAGGGGCATACCGAGACACCCCATACACACCCCAGTTCGGAGCTACCTACGAGCTCTAACCTACCAAACCAGTCCAAAGGCCTGCCTATTAGCCCTGAAACACCTGAAAGCAAAGGGAGGGTGGGTGGGACAACAAACAGGTAAGTGTAACTTAGATTAAAGTGATCCCTGGTTCTAAAATGGCCACTACTTATACTCCCCTTTAAAACTCCACCCCATCATTTCCACTGACCAATCCCTGACCACTGACCTTTAGATGGCCTGTCTCCTGGCAATGTCAAAGCCCACTCCCCTTAGCTACGCTGCTCCATGGGCTACATGACATGGGCACAGTCGCCTTGTCGGCCTCTGCTTAAACACCCCCACCAAATCCCCAATCCCCAATAAAGCACTAACACCATGGTTTTGGCAAAATTATATCACAGCTTTATTTGTAATTAACATAAATTTAAAGGTCATTGTCAACAGCAAGCCAACGTTGGCCTGCACAATTAACATCCGGCATTTACAATTTATCCCCTTGACAATGACCCACCCCAACATAACATAATACCCAAACATTGAACATTTACTTAACATGAAACATGACCATTGCCACCAAAGGGCACCACAAGTGTAGGGGCATACCAAGACACCCCATACACACCCCGGTTCGGAGCTACCTACGAGCTCGAACCTACCAAACCAGTCCAAAGGCCTACCTATTAGCCTTGAACTCCAAACTTTTTCCCCATCTCACTCTTTTCTCCCCCCAACTTTACTCTCCATCCCTCGCCACAGCTCAGAGCTCAACTCCTCGAGCTCCTGAGCGACACTCCCCCACCCCAGGGAAAAAATCGCCCTTTGGAGGCCCTCCTGGAAACCCAGCAACAAAAAGTCCAAACCCACATCGGACAGATGGACCCCATCACTCCTATAATAACCTGGAAGCATGTCTTCCAACTCCCTGTGCCTGATCACAACCACCACTGACCGCCTTACGTACGCTGCCATTACCTTGTTAACCTTACCCTTAATCTTCGCCACCGCGGAGGGATTCCGCGCGTGCCGCCAGTACAACCTTGGAACCATTTCCGACCATACTACCATAACCCCAGGCACTAACTCCCTTAACCTGTCCACATCCCTCTTCATACACTCGAGCAAAACCTTTTAAGGTAACGACCCCACATCACTATGTCCGGAACCTGTCCTAAAATAATTTTGTGAAACATTTCCTCACATATAACATTCTAACCCTAGCCCCGGTAACCAAACCACCGAAGCTGCACCACAGAACTTGGAAAGCCCAGCTGTAGACCATGACGTCGAATTGCAGCTCTCCGTTGCGCCCAGTGTATGTATGAGTGGCCGACCACCCATGCCATCTGACCTGTAAAACATAAAGCAAACATAGACAACCACAAAACAACCACCAACCAACATTCCCCATTAACCATCCTCAACCTTAAACCAACATGTCTGGCCTAATGTAAGACCTGAACCTCAGCGACTCCCACCTGGCAATCTTTTTCACCCGTTCATCACCCAAGCTTAGTCTCGCCGCTTCAGTAGCCGCATCAATCCTGAAAGAATGTGTTCCGAATTGGCCCGGGTCCACACGCAACCTTGCCAATGCCTTCTGAAAAACCCTGGACCATCCGCTGAAGCAACTCGAATGACACCGGCCTCCTAGAATCCACTGACACTTTACCCCTCCTGAAACCTTTTAGTGCCTGCCTAACAAGAAAATGTTTGGTAGCATCCTCCCACCAGTTAAATTTGAACAAGAAGGCTAGCGCTGCCAGCTAACACCCCACCGCCGCTGCCGAAACCCCTGTGGTAACTGACCTACACAAGAGCCACAGCAGCGCGTCCAACCATGCCTCCCCTGAGAGCTGACCCCCTGTCTGATGCACCAGCTCGTCCCATTCCCTCCACACCTTACTGTACGCCATCCAAGTAGCAGGTGCCAGGGAATCCCTGATCAGTCCGCCAAGCATGATGTCCCGAGCCACCACATCTCGTCCGGGCAAGACATCCCTTCCTCCCGCGCGCCAGGTGCCACCTGCCGGAACCTCTCCCACTGCGAATGAGACAACGCATCAGCAAGAACATTCAACAGTCCCGGCACGTGGCGTGCCCGAAAAACAATGTTAAACCTCATGCAGAACAAGACAAAACGGCGAAGAAGCCGCACCACCGGGATAGAGGTTGCTGATAGCCCGTTCACTGCATCTACCACTGCCATATTGTCCGGAAAGAATACCACCTTCTTGTCCCTCAACTGTGGACCCCATAGTGACAGCGCCACTACTAACGGGAACAACTCCAGGAACGCCAAGTTGCGTATCAGTGGGCTGGCCTTCCAGGCCCTTGGCCAAGTGCCCGCGCACCATTGACCCGAAAAGTAAGCCCCAAAACTGACACTCCCGACGCGTCCGTGAACAGCTCCAACTCCTGAGAAGACGGCGCCGGCTCCCGAAAGGACACCTTCCCATTAAAGTCCCGCAAGAATTCCTCCCAGATGTCCAAATCGGCCTTCATGGCCCCTGATACCCGAATAAGGTGGTGCGGGAACATCACCCCCCCCCCCCTCGTCCCCCTGGCTAGGAACCTGTTAAAAACCTGTCCGACCGGAATCACCCAACAGGCAAAGTTTAGCCGACCTAGCAGAGACTGAAGCGCCCGGAGCGTAACCTTCTTAGCTCCCCGCACCTCCGCCACCGGCTGCCAGAGTGCCAGTAACTTGTCCTGTGGCAGCCTGCACTTCCCTTTTACCGAGTCAATCTCCAAGCCCAGGAAACTCAGGCACGTCGTAGGTCCCACCGTTTTGTCACTTGCCAAGGGGACTCCAATAACG